CTCGTCTCGTCTCGTCTCGTCTCGTCTCGTCTCGTCTCGTCTCGTCTGGTCTGGTCTGGTCTGGTCTAGTCTAGTCTAGGTAGGTAGGTAGGTTTGCTTGCTTGCTTGCTTGCTTGCTTGCTTGGTTGGTTGGTTGGTTGGTTGGTTGGTTGGTTGCAAGATGTTTCAGCTTGTTTGATTGGTGTGCCGAGGCATTTTGCACGATATTGACGAGCGCTTGGAGGGCCTGCAGGATGAGCTGGATTTCAGAGATGCACGAATTGCCAAGGCAACAAGAAAGGGGTCAAGAGAGGGATAAAGAAACACATGTGAAAACAATCCAATGCTAAAAGCCATTATGAACCAATCCAACATTTTTTTCCCCTGGGGGGTTTTGGACCACAAGGGGTTATAGTTATACTATCTCTTATTTTGTTGGTTTATGGTTATCATGCTTAAACTTGGACAGCAGAGATGGGTGCCTTGAAAAGATCCTAAGCTATTGAGAATACTCGTGTGATAGAATATTATTGACATTATTGACATGAAGGAAATTAACAAACATTCCTCCACTTCGAATGAAAGTAGGCCACCAGAGGACCATAGAGAAACATGATAGAAACTCAGAAGATAGACACGTATCAGATAACGGAAAGGAATGGCAAGATAAACCAGATAAGAATCAAGGAAAAGACAAGTAAATACGCAAAAAGTCAAATCACATCATAAGACTACAACATCATCCATAAGAAACTACTATATCAAGTAGAAAAGGTTCTTTGCGGGGGTTGCGTTTCCGCCGGTTCGTCTCTGCTCACCCAGGCTCAGCAATACCTCAAGTCCACGGCCGGGACGGGGCCTGGGTCGCTGGACGCTGAGCTGGAGCGGATCCCCGCGGAAGATGGCAAGGAGCTCCTGAGACGCCTCTTGGAGTGGCCAGACGACGCGCTCGCGCGGAAGGGTGAGGTGCGCTCGCGCGGAGGCGCGACGACAGGGTGGTGAAAAGTGGACCGGGTGAGACAGAGTGAGCTATCGCGTTCTACCTCTGGTGAAGTGAGTCTTCCACTTGTGCAGGGTTTTGGGACACTTTTCCGAAGCCTGACTTCTGTCCATCGAGGCGAGGGTGACTTTCAAGGAGTTTTGGAGGAAAAGCATTCTACCTCAGCTGGAGTTTGGGGTTCCGTAGCTGAGCAACTTCTCACAGCTCCAAGGTTACTGCGAGAAGCTGGTGAAGCTGCGACAGAGGGAGAAGCAGTGACTAGGTCCAAATCGGGTGGCTGGTCTGTCGCGGTGAGGGTCCATATGGATCCATGGTAGCTTTCTCCATTTTCGCCGCCACCTGGCGGAGAGGATTGATCATGGGACGGGAAGGGTCGTCGTTTGATGGGTTGCCCTCATGGTGGAGTTTAAAGCCAACGATCATGGCAATTGGTTGCCAAATGACCACACTTTAAATTCTACTATAGCCATAGAACAGCATAGGTTTCAAGTAAACTCACGCTGTGAACTGAACCGGCTCAAGCCACTCAGACGCGCAGAGCGCAGTGCTGCCATCTCGTGCTATGGCAGAAGCACTGCTGGAGGCTTCAGTGCAGAACTTTCGCATCAGGCACCCTGAGGTGCGCATCCTCAAGTGCGGGCAGGGCATCTACGACGTGCAAGGCTCGGACGCAGTTCTTGGCCGAAGAAGAGGGGGACTGTATGTAAAGAGAAATGTATACACATATATATATATAGAATGTGTGTAAACATGTAGATATCAGTAGTTGTGTGTGGGCAGATTCCCTATCGCGCCTTTTTAGGCCGGAGGATCAAGCTGGAGACTCGCTCCTGGAGTCTGGATCCCTTGGTGGTTGATGGGCCCTTGCGACAGCCTTTGAGCGACTACATCGCTGGATCGAGCCGAAACGAATCATGGGAACCTCCCTTGGTGCAGTCTGCCCTGCATGCCTTGCCACAGGCTCGCCGTGTCTCCTTTGAAGAGCTCTATCCTCAAAATCGCACGGATGCCATGCGGCTAGCAGTGCTTGAAGCGAATGCCAGAGAGAGGCATGCCAAAGAGCAGCTCTCTAGATCACCTTCCCCTGATCGACGCCACGTCTCCCGCCCTTTGTCCCGGAGCTCCAGCAGGGATCACCGCAGCAGCCGCTCACCCCTCTCACGCTCACCTGCACCCATGTTCCGGCCGGTGGGGCAGCCCTTCTTCCCGGTGCCCGTGATCTTCGGGACCGCGCCACGGGCGGCCGGCGCCACGCCGTTGGCGGCACAGGTGGTGCCAAAGGTAGCACCGCAAGTGGCGCAGGTGGTGCCACAAGTGGCGCAAATGCCGATGGTTCATGTGGTGGGACGTGGGAAGGAGAAAGTCCGTCAACGTTCTGTTTCCCCTAGCCCGGGAGTGAGAGGTCCGGTGCCAGTGCCTGGGCGCATGGGACTGGCGGAGTTGAAGGAGGCTTTTCGGCAGCTCAAGCAGAACACCGCCACCATGAAGCACCAGCTGCACGCACTTCAAGCTCGTGCCATCGAAGAGCTCACGAAGGGCGACGGTGAAATCACCCAGGTACCATCCAGTGAGCCGTTGGTAGATGAAGGAAGGAGGCTTCCGGGGTCACCTAGTGCCTTCCCGGAGAGCTTTGATCCACATCTGGCGGGAGAAAAGCCGAAGGTTGTGGCTCGGGTCATCAGGTTTTTGGGTTGGAGTAGTTAGTAGTTGCCGGACGATGCTCGTCTCAGGGAAACATATACCATCCTGCTCAGCAGAGACATGGGCATTGGGGTTTTCGTGTAGGTAAGTGTTCAGAAGGCCCATTTCCATATCTAGTGTTCTATGTGAACGGCAAAGAAGTGTAAGTATTCCTTTTGAATCTCTTTGATCCTTTTCTGAGCGTTCTGCTTGGAACTTCCAAGACGTCCCTCGGTTTGGCTGAGGCACTGGCAGCGGCTCGAGGCAGCAGAGGCTCAGTTGGCGGAGCGGGCGCAACAGGTCAAGGAACTGCAGCAGGTGCTACGACGACAGGATTCGAACGCCACCAAGGCGCGGACTTCCGTGTGAGGAGCCGGCAGGGAGCCGCGGAGCAGGTGTGCCTGATGCAGCAAAGTGTAAGTAGAAACTTGATATCCAAAAAAGATCAGGGTAACCTGGGTAGCAGGTTGGCAGGAAGAAAGGATAGGTGTGCTTGCCCATGCGGCTAGGTGCCCACGACTTCTTGTTGAGTTGAAGATGCCATGCTGGGAGGCAATAGCCAAGGTGACCAAGGAGTACGAGAGCCGCATCCGATCGTTGCTCCGCTGCTGGACGACAATTGCTAAGTTGGGTTCGTTGATTGTGTTGTGTCGGCATGCAACTGCACAGCCCTTCAAGTCATGTCATGTCATGAAGACCGATGGCCCAGTTTTGGCCACTTAGGTCAGCTGTCGGCAGCTTGGCGGCACTGGGCTTGCAAGTTGCCAAAGCAAGTCCAGCGATGTCGACGGATGATGTGGCCTGATGGATGTGCACCGAAAAACTCCATTCTAGAACTGGTGAAGACCTACCAGTTGGTTTATCGCAGTCCTTTCCATTGAGTCTTGCTCACTTCCTAACTGGCACGTGCACACGAGGCCCAGCAGAGCATGGGGGGGTCCGGCGCGGGCACCGACACGGCTCCACCTGACGAGCCAAGTGTCACGTCGGGCGACGCAGAGGCCTGGGCGTGGCAGGTGGCCCAAACCCGTGTTTTGAAACGTTTGTCGTTGTCAAGGGGTTGAGATGGATGTTAGCTCACAGAACTGCAGCCAAATCAGATGTGGGGAGGATGGGGGATATCTTGCCATCTGGACTCGGTCTCGCTCGCAGCCACATTAGCTCAGCGGCTCTTCCGGGCCGGGATGGAGGATCGCTTCCAAACTCTTTGGGCCGAGCTGGCGAAGGTCCATGTCGAGGAGGCGCTCCGCGCATCCCAAACGCTCCGAAAGGATGTTCCGAATTCTTTCGCCCAGTCCCTGAACTGGGGGTATCGGTCGGGGCACTAGTTGAACTCTTCGGCCAGGTCGAGCAGTTACGTGCCGAAGTGGCACACCTGCGCTTCGCCGGCTTGGACGCCCGCACGCGGGGCGATGCCAGCGATGCCAACGACGTGAAGGAGGAGGTGGACGACGCCCGTGAACAATGCCTGCGGCGAGAATTCTGTAGAGCTGAGGATGAGGACATCGGGGAGTGGCCCGTTGTGGGACGAAGGGGTGAAGGTGGTGAAGAGTGAGGAGCTGCTTTGTGGGAAGGTAGATATGACAACGGCTGGGGGAAGAGGATGACCGACCGACCGACGGATACCCACCTACTGACCTACCCACCTACCCACCTGCTCGGTCGTATTTTTGTGGTGTCTCGGTCACGCGTGGTGTCTGGGTCATGTTTCGGCGGCGTCTTGTTTCGGGATGTTCTTTTGTTATGATTTGCTGTTTTGGTGGCGTATCGGTTCTGTTTTCACGGCAGTTCGCTGATATTTTGGTGGTGTCTCGCTGTGGTTGTCTCGGTTGTGTCGGGGTCTCAGTCTTTGCGCGTGTGTGAACTGTGTTCTTGCTTATCCATACACCTGGTGCACATTGCCCGCGGGCGCTTCATTCACTCGCGTTTCGATCCGGTCTCACAATCACAGATGGATGGCGGCCAGGAAACATTGGATGAGACCATTGTGGATGCAGCGGTGGCAGAGGAGATGCGGAATGCAGGACCTTTGCCCGACACCGAGCTGCCCACAAAGGATGGCTTCTCGACGAAGACAGCTCATACTGATGGGCAGAAAGGTCCCAGCAAGACTCGCCAGACCTGGAACCCTCCCATGAATAGTAGTAGCATTCTGAGTAGCAGGGTGCTCTTGATTCATGTTACTTTTCTTCTTACCGTCCTGGTGTTCAGAGCCGCCGAGCTGACAGATGAAAAGGATTGGGACAGATGATTCATCCCTTACGTTTCGTGACTGCTTGACTGCGTGACTGGCAAACTCAGCTGGGAAGAGATGAGGATTTTCTTTTTCACCTTGCGGGACCGACCGTTCATCTTGTTCCAGACCTCGGTGGGATTGGATTTACTTCGTTTATATAATATACTTGTTCTTTAAATGGGTTGGGAGTATTTGTTCCTTCCCTTTGTGGTGTTTTTTCCCTCTTGGTCAGTGCAAGGCTCTTCCCCTCCTCTTTCTCCGGCAAGTGTGGTGGAGAAGGTCGCAGAGAGAGAGTTGGACTGGGGAGAAGACAGTCACGTCATCCACACGGAGACGGAGCGGGCCATCATCAAGCGGGTTTCGGACATCTTCTTGGGCCCGACCTTTGAATTTGCAACGGCCATTCTGTTGATCTTCAACCTGCTCTTGATGGCTGCCCAGCTGCAATACCATGGCATCAAGATGGGCCACGAGATGAACTACCCCCACTACGACTATGAGCCGGAAATGGCCTTGCCCGGCGCGGAGAACTTCTTTCTGGGGGCGGACGTGGCTTTCGCGATCATCTTCACCCTCGAAATGCTGATCCGTTTCTCGAAGATCGGCTGGTGCCTTGGTTGGGGTTAAGGCTCACACAGAGAAGGCCCTGCCCCGACCTCAACCAGCCAGCCAAGTGGTGGTGTTTTGTGACATCCGGTGTTTCATAATGTTTTTCCTTGTGAGCAAAACTTACAGGCTAAGTTAAGTTTCCCAAACTGTTATTTTTCCTTCAGGTTGTACTTCAAGAACTTGTTCAACTGGGTGGACTTCGTGGTGGTTTGCAGCAGTTGGGTGGAGCTCTTCGCGGCGGCCTTACCGATCTCGCCCACCTTCCTCCGGATGCTACGCTTGGGAAAGCTCCTACGTGCCATTCGCGTGGTGAAGATGTCGCAAGTCTTAGAGTCCCTGCAGCTCTTGTTGAAGTGCATTCATGCAAGCCTTCGACGCCCGTTTTTGACCAAAGTTCCAGCAACATCCAGTTACCAATGACGATCTTCCATTTTTGGGGCTCGATGTTGCTTGTGATTGTATGAGATGCCACATGACGCCGCCACAAAGTAACCAATTTCTAAGCGATCTCCAGGTGTCGTTCGGTGCCAAGCCGCTTGCCTCCGAGGAATCCTGTTTTGGTCTCTGGTACTGCTGATGATTATCCAGTGCAGTGCCGGCATGACCATCTCTTATATGCTGAGCGACTACATGGCCGACACCGGCATCGATGACAAGAGGCGATTTGAAGTCTTCCGCTACTATGGGACCTTTACCAAAACGCTCCTGACGATGTTCGAAGCTTGGCCAAGCATCTTCAACATGTCCTTGGCGTAACAGGGAAGCCGAAAGTGGCGGTCACTGCCACGCTGCTTTAATGCAGTTTGTGTGTGCAGCACACCCTTCACGACAACTTTTGGTCGTGGGTGATGTCAACATGGAACGTATGTTGGTACGGCCTTGTTGTGAATAGTTCACCCACATTTGTGACCAGTATGTGTAGGCTATCCTCAAGTTTGAAGCATAGTCTACTTTCTCCGAAAGACTCTTTCGGGTCACCCGGTCAGTAAGATCAGTTCCTTGAGTCACCGGGAAAGCCGATGCACTTTCAGAACTAGATGAACTAGCTTGAACAAGCTGACCGGAAATCTGCGAGCTGGCTGCTAGAATCGATCGAGCAGCACCGAAAACCAAAACGTTTTCGGTCTTGGTTATTTGTGACCCCTTCCTTCATTGCCCCTTTTCTTGTTGCAAAGAATCATGCAGCCAATGCTTCTGCTGCTGACAGGAAGTTCTTTTTGCAAACTGGGCGCCGGCTTGTAGAGTTCTTGTCGACAATGTTGGCGAGGGGTACTCGGCCGTCTTCATTATCTACCGATGCTTCGTGGGATTCGCTGCCTCTCGACTGCATCGGTGAAGAACACAGTCAGAGCAGTGGATTCAACATCTCGGTGAGGTTTGAGCACTTTGGTCTCAACTCAACAACCCCCGTCGCCAGTGTGTCAATTATAACCCGCAGTCATCCACAGTCGCCTTTGCATCTTAGGTCCTGAACGTGGTGAATGCCGTGTCTGAGCTGAGATGAAGGGCTCTTCAGTTCTTTGCCCCCTTGTTTGTTCGGCATGGTGCTCCCTTTGCACTCTGGGAATCCTCACCTTTCACCCTCGTTTTCAGCCTTGTTTTCCGCGGGTTCGCTAAAGGTGTATTGGTTTCACACAACTTGCTTCGGTTTCATCATCATTTCATCAAGGTCTTTTGAAAAAGAGGGGCGCGAGGGTCTTGCTGCAGGGTGCCGCTGCCATGGTGCTGCCCACAATTGTTTGCTATTTGGGGTCTATGCCTATGCTGGCGTAACTTTCTCAATAACGTACGGAGCCCAAACGAACATGATCGAACGTGAGGGCCGCGAAGCACCCCTACCTCCTTGTTTATCCTTGTTTTGCCCCTCTAGTCAGAGCCCATATATAGTCTTCCTTTGCGGCCTGGAACTGGGTTGGTGTGAGCCCAGACTCCAGGGAACCTTGCCTAAAGCGAGCAATCCAGTTGGACATAAAACCGTATGTCACCAGGGGCCCTTTAAGATAACTGGTCTTGGTGTTGCGACAAGTTTTGGCCTAGAACAAGTGCCTTTTCCACTGACAACCACTGAGAACCACTCACCCTTTTGGGCGCCAATGTCCGCAGCCATGGACGTGGGGTTGGGAAAAAATATATCAAGCCTTCACCCCAAGACTACAATCAAAAATGGGCCCAAGAAACATCCTCAACAGCTGGGCATCAAAAAACCGCAAAAGGAGTGGCGCCATCGCAAGTTGACCAACAAGTGTCGTGTTGTTGCTGTGCAATACCAACATGGGAATATGTCGGCATAGCTATGGCATAGCATACATCATGTGCCCACATATGCGCAACCACGACAACGCCAAAACAAGCAAGAAGCAGCAAACCTGCTCCGGAACTGGCTTTGAGCCTGCCAGCAAGTCAGTGCGACAGCGTGACCCGATTTCAGCATCTCATGTTAGCATGTTAGCATGACCCACGCCAGCGCGCCAGCATGACAACATGTGAGCGTGACACCACACAAGCATATCAGCGTGCGCAACGCGAATGATATCAATGTCACGAATCGGTGTGGCAACACTTCCCTGAAACTGCTGCGGATCCTGCTCTGGAACCTGCTGCAGGCACTTGCTCTGGAACAACTTCCTCCGGAACCTGCTGCGTAGCAACAGGGGTGAATACATGCAAGAACCCCACAAAAAGAAACTGAAGAACATTTTGTGTTTGTCAATTCGCTCGTTGTTTCTCCTGGAAGAGCTAAACCGCAGCTACTGTAAATGATTTTGGGGTTAGGGGTTTGATAGATTTTCCATAGACATTGCACGAGTCTAGAGACATGATTGAGCAAGGCAAGGAGAAAAGAGGACTGAAACAGGTGTAGCAGTCAAAAGAAAACATGGAACAGATTCAGGGCTTCTGACAAAGAATAGAAACTTAGGCCACATATATATATATATAACTATAGTTGTTATGCTCTTGTGAATTCTGTCTTCAACTCCTTGTATGACCAGCTTGAATGAAAACAACAACTCAATAAAGTCAAAACGTTGCGCTTGGACATTTTTTATTTAAATTCAGTCTTGTACTGAAGGTTATATATAGATATGCACATATTGCATTCCCACTTGCAGTGTTTTCTATTTTTTTAGTCTTGTAATGAAGGCTCTACATATTTTTTGGAAAGGCTGTATTCCTGCTTCCATGGGTCATCGGTGACCTTCCATTAGCCATCAGCAGTTTCAGCCAAGGCCTTTGTTAAGCATTCGATCATTTGCCCAAAGGGCTACAGAGTCCCAAAGGCGCCCCCACCCAACCCCCACACCAACTCAGGTCTTTGTGCAGAGCACCATGAAGGTGGCTCAGGCCGATGATGAGCTCATGAGTCGAGAGAAGGCTCGGACCCAAGCGGCATACCACGAGCGGATCACGGCCTTGTTCCGACAGGTGGACACCTCTGGAGATGGGATGATAGATGTGACCGGGACGGCGCACCAAACCATTTTTGTGTTTTGTTGGTTTGAGTTGGTTTGTTTCATGTGGATCGGGGGGGGTTCTCTCGCAATCAAGTGGCAGTGGCTGGCAGTGGCAGTCAGGGCAAAAAGTTGCGCCTAAGGTATGCGCATGGCACAACGAGTTGGCCATGCGTAAAGATGCAGGTGTATGGCGTACGGTGCACGGTGTACGTTGCAAGACTAGAAAGTGTATTGCAGTGAGGAAATGCGGAGCAGTGTGCGCAAGGTATGCGGACGAATCAGCTCCAACATCGCCATAGAAACGAAAGTGCGAACAGTTTGTGACACAAAGGATTTTGTTCGTTCGAGCACCGAACGGGTGCACAGAACTTCTGTCAAAAATGGATGAAGGCACCTAGGACCTAGACAGCTGGAACAGACGTGCGAGATGCATGTGGCGCCAACCAAGAGAATGGAGTGTGCGTTGGCGTGCAACCTGAAGGTAGGCTAGAACTAGGACCTACCACAGAGAAGTGAAAAAACAACACAAAGTGCCACGATGCAAAAACTATGCATGTTGTTACTAGTAGCTTCTTGTTCCTAGTAGCGATGGCCTCCAACCTTCTATTAGATGACCTCCATCTAATAGCGTCCGAACGTACTAGTAGCGTCCTTGCTCCTATTAGTAAGGCCAGGAGCTCCTAGTAGCTTCTTGTTCCTAGTAGTAATGCCAGGAGCCCCTAGTAGTGTCCGAGCGTCCTTGTTACTAGTGGCGTGGCGATGATCCCCGGGTGTGGTGTGTGAAGCACCACGAATATCACACGCCGAAGCAAAAAGACCTGGAACTTCCGTGGCCCGCGAGAGCCAGACGAGCAACGCCCACATGTTCTGGGGATTTCTGATTTTATGGTGTGGATTTCGCCTGGAAGAATCTACCTCATCAAGGTGCTCCGTTGGAAGGTGTGGTTTTTGTGACAGAACGTGATTCTTTTGGGGTCCCGTAACCCGAAGCCAAAGAAAGAATTCCATTCCTCATGCAAGCCCACGAGACCTGGATCTCTTGCAGTTCCTTCCGGCTCCGTAAGGCGAGCGAGTTCCAAGAGTTGTTGCAACATCCAAAGCTTCAGCTTTGGCTGCATCAGCTGGAAGTCGAGACGAACGACTTAGTGGGATTGTTCAACATGTTGGACGACGGAGACGGTGAGATCTCCTTGGAAGAGTTTGAAAGTGGCCTGATGCGGATCAAGGGGATTGCCCGAAGCTACGACCTGAACAAGTTGCAGCGCGACATCTCGCGGATGAGCAGCAAAATGGACATGCTTTTCGCCAACTCCCCTTACACCAGGGGCTTGATCAGGGAGAAGATGGATAGGAAGAAGAGCCTGAGCAATGTGAGCAACTCTGCCCCAAGTCCATCCGCTCGGGATTTGGGTGTTCCTTCCCCATCACGGAGCGTTGTGTAGGCTCATCAGGGGATGTAGGCTCATTCAGTTTCGAGTGGTGAGAGGTTCGGTGAATGTACGGATGGGCACCATCCGTCGACACCAATTTTTGCAGTTTCACAGGTTCGCACTTTCCCGGCACCGACACGGCAAATGCCAGTGATCATTTGTGCCTTCTCGATCGCGGTGCAGCTTGACAGCAAAGGAGTCAAAGAGGCGTTCGACTTCACGGAGGAGGAAGATTGTGTTGGCTGAGTTGACTAGGTCTTAGCAACCTCACGTGGTGAAGGATTTTCTTCCTCCAGCAGTAGGGTTCCTTGAGCTCGCCGCAGGTTGAGCAGGTGCGAAGCCCGGCACTCAGTGAAAACTCAAAACGCGAGGATTCTGACGTGAATGGTCGGCATTTGGCTGATTGCGGATGTTGCTTTCCCTCAGGATTCTCATGTGGGTGCTTGGTCCTTCCAATTGCCCAACCAAGTGCAGTTCCTTCTTTTGTTGGGGGTGAGGGGCAGAAGTGGAGGCTTTTCAGCTTGAGGCTCTAGCATCACCTTGTTACATATCATAAAATTATGTAAGGCCCCTTGTGGTACCAACCTCAAGATCATCACATGCCGCAGCCAGTAGAGTTCCTGTAGAGGAACATCTTCCAACTCTTCCTTGGAATCTTAGAGTGGTGTGGGTTTGGCGAGATTATCTTTTTTCTCCTCCCGGTAGCATTGGAAGAGTCGAGCAAAGAGGAAGACTGAATTTGCATCACAAACAGCTAGGCACCCCTGCTGCACTGCTCTCCTCCCCGTCTTCGAAGCGAACGAAGGAGACAACCAGTACTACAAGGCGGTGAATCGAGAGCTCAAGCGGCGACTGCGATCCTTGCTGGAGCAGCGTGGGGAGGCAGTCGTTGAAGTTCAACGGGAGGATGGCAGTCGATTTTTGTTTTGGAGAAACAGGACCGTCTGCTGGGGTCCAGCTTGGAGAAACAGGTGAGTTTCTCAGGTGAGTTTTGTGTGAACACTTTTGCGAGCCTTGTTTTGAAGGGCCAGGCCAGACTGGTCAGACAGACGGTGATCAATGCGAAACAGAAGTCGTTGAAGCAGTTGGCTGAGAGAAGTCCTTTGTGTTCTTTTGCAGCAGCTTGCTTCTATTACCGTCAGCCACTACCACCTGCTTGCACAAAGGCCACTGTAAGGGCACAAAAAAAGACCGGCAGGAACCTGAAAAAGAACAGCTCTAGTCACCCTTCCACTTGGTGTAGACTTGCTTCTCCGGACGTTTTTCCACCACCTCCCGCTCGCTCGAAGTCCCGTGCCATGCAGGCAGACGCCGAGCCGGCGCCAGTGACTCCGTCCCGCTTCGTGCCGAGCGAGGACGGGGTGCTTCGCACGGTTCCAGTGCAGAGCAGATGGAAACAAGCAGTGAACCAATTGAGATTTGGGCTCCATTTTGGGAGACTCAATCCGACAGAAGTCTTGGTTTGAGACCTTCGAGGTTTCTTTAAGATGCCTCACTTGACTCAGGACCTCCCAAATGAAGCCCAAAACGTGAGGGGTTTATATATATATATATACAGACAGACAGACAGACAGACAGACAGACAGGCAGGCAGGCAGGCAGGCAGGCAGCCGGACAGACAGACAGACAGACAGACAGAGAGAGAGAGAGAGAGAGTTTTCTTCCCCGTGTCGGCCAGAGGAGCCGCATCACAAGGCCATCAAGTGACGTTGCTCAGCCCATGGGCCGAGCTTTTGCGAGGCTGTGGGCTTCGGTTTTCCCAGTTGACCTGCCAAACGACCTGCCAAACGCAAAATCAGATCGAACACGGAAATGCGGGAATCCATCAAAAAGTGCCTGCGCCACGTTCGGCTGAGAATGCAACTGGGTGGATCGCCACAACCGACTGCAGTCTAGGCGTCGCGGTCTCACCGCGACCGTGCTTTGCTCTCCACAAGTGAGGGACTTTGCTCTCCACCGAGCGGGCACCGCAGGGTGCGTGGCTGTTCTGGGAAAAGGAAGTGGGGTTTGATATCAACATTTGTGTCTTGTCTGTGGGTTTCATGGCGTGGTTGTAGAGATGGCAGGAAAAGGGTCCATGAAGCAGGAAAGGGTCCAGGCTCTTGCGGCAAGATCAGTCCCGACTTGTATCGACTGTCCCATCCAGGGAAGCGCATGCGCTACTGGAAGCTGTTGGCGGAGATGCAAAGAGCGCCGAGTTTTGGGAGCGCTTGGAGGCCGCGAGCGCATCAAAGCTTATCCAACCTCATGCTGCCGGCATCAAACCCTGACCTATTAGCTGCTAGTAGCCTGGGCCTAGACCGTGAAACAGCTTTGGGATTGTTTCATCCCCAAGTGCTTCTCCCACGAATCTGCAGAAGATTTCCCGAAGACAAAACGTTGTGGATGCCAGGTTCAATGCCAGGCTGAGGCTCAAACTCTGCTGGAACCTTCCTTGGACTCCATTTGGGAGATGCTCCGTGAGGGGGAGGTGAGCGCCCCAGGGGCTTGAAGGTTGGAACTGAGAGCAGATGACATCCACTGTGTAATTGACCTCGATCACAGCAGCTTCAGCATGTCTGTTTGATGCATTGGCACCCAAGGAGATGATGCAGCTTGCGCAGGCGAGGTGGAGCCACCACACCCGAGATCCCCAAACCTGAAACCCTCTAGTTGCCCTCTCCTTCGGGGGTCTACGGCTTTGAACACCACAGTTGATGGACCAGCGGTTGTGCAGGAATCGGCCGCGCTCACCCCACATGTTTCGCCCACCAAATTGACCAGCTTTAGACTAGACTGTGGCCGAATCAGCCAGACTGCATTCCGCAGCAGCTTAGCATCATGCTTTTACTAGGTTTACCACTCTATAGTGCTTTCTAGCAGTCTGTTGTGCAGCAAGTGGCACTAGGGAAAGGTTCCTCATCCCAGCAAGTGATCACGCAAGCACATCATTTCATACGCCGAGTGGGGATGATGGCATGGCCATATTTGTTACACCGTGCTAAGTTTGCGCATGGAGAAGAGAGTTGATCCTGCCGATGGAGTGGCTTATACCTTCAAGGACTTCCAAGCCGCTTCAGCCGAGGGAGCCCGTGTGCGTACATGAGCCCCAAATGGCATTTTCATGACCAGCAACAGCGCAAAAATTTGGATTCTGTGAAGGGCCATAGAGACACAGTCCTCGAAAGTGCTGTCCGCAGCGACTGCAGGACATCTCTGCGTTCTACGCGCGGCAGTACAGCCAACAGGAAGAGAGACCGTGGAGAAAAGGTAGTTTGAGAGCTTTCAGATGTGGTCGGAAGGAGTGCCCTTGGCGCGCAGGAGATCCAGCAGTACTGGAACCAGCGCTGCAAGTTGAAGTCTCAGTGAATGACTAGGATTGATGGACAACAACGCTGCACAAACGGTGCCGATGGGAAATGTCAGAATTATACCTGCCCATTGGTCGTTGCTAGCATGTGGGGTCTTCGGTCTTTGGTCAACCATGGGTCTTCACACTGTCCAGCTTTGGCCCTATTCAGGCCAGTCTTCAAACGCGAGGTGGGGGAGAACATCCTGTGCGGTTCGGTTTTGGGCCGACGCGAGCCCCCGGCACGTCGCCGATGGTCGTTGGGTTCATGGAGGCTGTAGAGGATCCTCCTTGGCAACACCTGGAGAAGGCCAAAGTGCCATGGCTGAGCTGAGTGCTTGGGTGTCTATCCACGTGGCGGGAAGTATGTTCGTTCAACTGCGGGGTGTCACAAGAAGCACCGATATTCATCAACCACATCACTTCTGTTAGGGCATCCTGCATCGTTCCCAACCAAAGGACTTAATCAAGTAAAGCAGAGTCCGGGACTTGGCCATGTATGCCTCAAGTGACGCATGTGTTGCAGCGACACGATTGCGTCACAAAACCTTCCTGCGGCACCTGGGCCGTCCATAGGGGAACTGGTGCTTTCAGTGGGTAGGAGATGGTAGGACAAAACTTGATATGTCCTTCCATATCCAGTTTTATCCTACCATGTCCTACCCAAGATGTCAGTTTCCAAAACTTGTTCATTTTGGGGTGGTGTTCAAAGCCTCTTTGTCGCTGCTGTGATCGAGGTCTCGTTCTGCCCCGACCCCAAGCCACTCGTCCGCATTCACTGCCGTTCATTTTTTGAATCACTTGTCTCCAACATGGGAGGGCCATCATGTGGTAGAGATGCCAGTCCTCCATTCTTCTTTTGATTTTTTGATGTTTCATTTTCTTATATTTTCTCTGCGAGGGAGCGAGATTTGTGTCAGGACCCTGGGTGTGAAATTCACGGCCATTTACGAGAAGACGCCCGAAGACTCGAAAGCCTTTGCGTCGGTCAATGCGGGCAACGGCAAAAAGCTCAAGGTGAGTTGGACCCGAAAAAGCGCCAAGGGCGGAGTTGGTTGAGAACATCGGGGTCTTAAAAGGCTTTGCGGGAGTGGGAGTTTTAGACTCTGGTGGGATGGGTGGCAGCTACTTTCATTTTTTGGCCATCGAAATCGCTGTCCCGCGATCCGAAGTGTGTGACTTTCACCGTTCACCAAGAATAAGGGACTCATGAAGACTTCTGGAGCAAGAGTCTTCAGGTCGACCGCAAATCTCTGTGCAGGTGGGTGGTGGCACCATCAACCTTCAGTTTGCACAGGAGATGTGGGGGGTTCAACATTCTTTCTGCAAGGCTCCGATGCATGGTGAGTACAGAGTCTTTTTGGCTTTCTCATGGTAGGTCTCTCAGATATGATGTTCTCAGATGACGGATTCCTTGTCTGGGTCCTTCAGCGCACGCAAAGGATATCGTGGGAAGCCAATAGCATTCAATAGCCACTTGCGGTGTCCATTGAATTGGGGCACAAGGCTCCGCTAAATGAAGATGGCCCTCCTCTCCTAGAGAGGCTATGTTATGGGCTTGTTTAGGCGACTTGTGGGGGAATCCTTGATCCATGGCCTACCCGTGGATGCCCCAGGATGGGCCTCTTTTTTTTTGGGAGGTGGTCCGGGGGTACCTTTTTCATACCCCTTTTCATACCCTTTTCATACCCCTTTCCTATTCCTTTCATATCCTTTTCATACCCCTTTCATACCCTTTTCATACCGCTCGACTCAGATATGGGGCTGCTGGTGTGTGGACTTCCGCAAGGCAGAACAGGTCACAACCCAGGCGACAAAGGGCTAACACAACATCCTGGAAGATCCACGTTTGGACCGTCTCAGGAGCTCCAGGCTGCAGCAGGGCACGACCCTTATGCCTACAGCCCGGCTCATGAGGGGCTGCTGCGGGCGGCCACGAAGTCTGGTTTGAGGCAGCGGTGCTTCGACAGTCTTCCAGGTATGACCTTGTTTTTGTGGAGCCTTAGGGGCTCCTCCTTGTTGGACATGGGTAAGTGAGGAGTGAGGACTTCCAGTTGCTCTCCAGAGCGCATATAGGGCCCCAACAAGCTTGCCACAACCCCATTGTTGCCACCGCAACACGTCTCCTGCACCCACAGATACTAGATGCAAGCGTGGCGTCGGTTCACTGCAGGGCAGGGCTCATCCCGGCGGGACCCGGTGTCGAACTGCCTGCCTGTGCCGCACCCAGGGGTGTTCGGGTGACTTAGGTGGTCTACGCTTGACACTTAGAGGATCAAAAACAAATATATATATATATATGGTTAATTATGGCCAAAAGCCAGAGCTACACAGACACACACTTAGATCCATGCTCGCAAGAGCTATATCAGTTATGACATCCCTGTGAGATTAGCACTTTACGCTTACTGCAGATTCGACCTTGGCTGGTGAATTGAAGGGTGAAAGAGCCCGCATCAAACAATATTGTTTAACATGGGTAAAACGAGACGGTGAGCTTTAACATTGCAGGTGCATACGGGTGATCAATCCGTGCTTCCCACTCCAAGGCATAGCTTCGTTGCACTGAGTTTGCCAAGTGCTGAACTGTACAAGTTAGTTTGTGTCAGAGGTCCTCAAGAACAGGACGTCACACACACACACACATAGATGGACCAGAGGATTTGGCTTATCACTTATCACCAGACTGCCGTTGCCTCTAAGAGCAAGCCGAACATTACATATTGCGCAGGGCAGCCGTATCGGGTGTTGTGGGATGAGAGGGGCTTGAGGGAACAGTTGTTAGGACTCGGCGCCGGCATTGCGCTGGCCACTGCTCTTTGCACGCGGCTGTAGTTCCGTTGTGCAATTTGCGGCAAGTCGCTCGACGGAAGAGTTTGGCCTTGACCAGCACCCAGTGCAGTGTTCAGGTAGACAGAAAAAACAAGGCATCGACGCTAGCCGCTAACCGGGGCCCCACGCGAAACGAAGACATCATGTTGTCGCGACGTTTCCTAAGTCTACGGTCTACGCGCTCGTTTACTAGGTACTTCCGTTTCGCTGGAACGCACAGGCCGATCTTCCGGAAGGCGGTCGCCTGGTTGATCTGCTGAAGAAAAGAAACGGCGTTTTTGCTTCGGCCCTTCTCCAAACCAACCTTTTCTCTCAATCACCCTGCGCGCCAAGTGCCTTTTATGTTGGGCCTGCCAATGCAAAAGCCAGGTCACCTCTTGCGAGCCTATCTCAAAAAACAACAAAGCCCGGGGTTTTAACAAGATGCGACATAGAGGTTCGACGAATGTCTGTGAAGTAAGGACGTGAAGTGCGAAACCCAAATTGACCACAAGAACCCGCAGCAACCACCTAGGTCCTAGGTCAGATGGCTGAGTGAAAAGGTCCAAGGCAGAGTCCAAAACCCACGGGTCGATCGCGAAAACATTCTTCAACACAGGGTGGTCGTCGAAAGCGGAAAAGCACCGGTAACAAGAGAAGAAAACACAACGAAAGACGAAGTGCGGTAGTATGCTGCATGTTTGCAGCTGTGTATGAAGCGGCTGCGCGCAAGCGTCGGAAATTAGACCCAAGCCCACCCCACCTCCCCCAAAGAACACGGTGTGTATGCATACGACGAAGCTAAGCCGTAGGCCCGCGCATGTGCCACATTTTGTAAAAATGTTTTCCAACGTTGTAAAAATTGTGGTTTCGCGCGGGGCCCCGGTTAGCGTCGTAGGCTAGAAGACCTAAAAGCGCGCAGCGCACGTGTGCAGGTTAGTCATCCGAGAGCACTCATTCTACGGGGTCCTGCTCGCAAGCGTCGGAAGCGGGCAAAGAGGCAAACGCACGGGATGCTGAGGGTTGGAGGGGGCCTTCCTCTACTTGGGCCCGACCAACACAGAGGACTGCGGGTCTTCCGGGCTTGGAATGGCGCAGCCATGATCATAGTGCTTTCACATGATTTCCATTCTGAGGTCAGCTGATGATGTCAAGGAAAATTCTGCGCAACTGCGTGTCGAGCGGATTTCTTTTTCGACTTGTTTTTTGCTTGGCCTAGAGGCCGAGTGCCTCCTTTTCATACCCTTTGTATACCCCTTTTCAGACCCTTTTGTATATCCTTTCCATATCCTTTCATGACCCTTTTCATGACCCTTTTCATACCCTTCAAGAATTTGCATGTCCAGCCAGTCCAATCACAGGCTGAAGAGGTTGCAGCAGACCCCGGACGAGCTGGGCTCGTGATCTTGGCTGCTCAGCTAGGCTTAGTGATCTCAAACAACTGGTGGTGCGAGAGTGTGACACTAGCACACCGGTTCAATTCATGTTCCCAGACGGAAGCATTTTGCCGTTGATGGGCAAAATCTTGCCGCTATAGGCCACCAGTTTCCATTGGAATTGCCAAGCCAACCGCATGCGAAAGTAGGTTTCCTACTTCCATGCCAAGGACATGTTCGAGAAAAACTCTCGTCCGTACCACGCCCAGAATGTGGCCATGGTGCACCTGGGCTCGCAAGAAGAGGCGATTCTTCTGATCGGAAGTGGGGTAGCCCTTCCCATTGACTGAAGGAGCTCTACAACTAGCATTTCCACTGTTTTCATGGGTTTTCTATGATCAAGTGGGGCCATTGCGTTTGATGGGTGTCAAGTGACCTGTGCATGTCAACGTGGTGCACTACCCACCTGAGCTTTGGACCCGTCATGTGGATCGATCTGAAGCCGGTTGCGAGTCAGGCGTCGCCCGGAGAAGTTTTGGGTTGTGTGTTTCTCAAGTTCCCCAGCTGAAGACACCATATATTTATTAAAAACAAAAAAATATAAACTCTGGCGCGCTCCCCCATCGGCAGGGGTCGGCGGATATATGCGGATATACAAATAAATTGATAATTTAAATAAGAAAAAACACACACACACACACATATATATATATATACACACATACACATATAAAGAAGACACATGGATCGATGTATATATTATACACATGACATGTATGTAGAACATGACGCTTTCCCCTACTGTGTGCTGTGCCTCGTTTGCGCACCACGTTCTCTGCACGTTCTTTGCCCCACCCTGATCTCCGAGGTACACCGTGGGACCCTCGCGCTCGGACGAGGCGGACGACGACACTTTCCTGTCGACGCTGGTCTCTACGGTCGGGGGGACGGGCGCCGAGCGGTGTGGCCACGCGCAGCCGCTACGCGCGCGTGATACCTGAGCTGGACGAGGAAGAGTAGCGGCCGCAGAGGTGTGCACGGCTTGTAGCAATGCAGCATCAGCTCGGAAGAGGGAACTAAGTCCGAACCGCTGAAGATAAATGAAGTTTTGTGGGAAAGGCTTGGTGGTGCCAAACATTGAAATCAGACCATTGATGTCAAAACATGTTCAAAGGAAGTTTAGAAGGAACTTCCGTGTTACGAACATTTACATCACTCATCATACACCACTCATCATACACCACTCATCACCACTCGTCAAACCACCACTCATCACACACCACTCATCATACACCACTCATCAGATTTCGTGGCAGGTGCAGCAATTTGTGTCGGTCGGCCGTCCATTGTGATTAGGTTTTCACTTGTCTATTGAAGTGCAGATTTCGTGGCAGGCGCAGCACTTTGTGAACCTCCATGTGCAGATTTCGTGGCAGGCACAGCACTTTGTGAACCTCCATGTGCAGATGTCGTGGCAGGTGCAGCACTTTGTGAACCTCCAGGTGCAGATTTCGTGGCAGGCACAGCACTTTGTGAACCTCCAGGTGCAGATGTCATGTCAGCCACAGCACTCTGTGAACCTCCAGGTGCAGATTTCGTGGCAGGCACAGTACTTTGTGAACCTCCAGGTGCAGATTTCGTGGCAGGTGCAGCACTTTGTGAACCTCCAGGTGCAGATTTCGTGGCAGGCACAGTACTTTGTGAACCTCCATGTGCAGATTTCGTGGCAGGTGCAGCACTTTGTGAACCTCCAGGTGCAGATTTCGTGGCAGGCACAGCACTTTGTGAACCTCCATGTGCAGATTTCGTGGCAGGCACAGCACTTTGTGAGCCTCCATGTGCAGATTTCGTAGCAGGCGCAGCACTTTGTGAACCTCCATGTATAGAGTTCGTGGCAGGCGCAGCACTTTGTGAACCTCCATGTGCAGATGTCGTGGCAGGTGCAGCACTTTGTCAACCTCCAGGTGCAGATTTCGTGGCAGGCACAGCACTTTGTGAACCTCCAGGTGCAGATTTCCTGTCAGGCACAGCACTCTGTGAACCTCCAGGTGCAGATTTCGTGGCAGGCACAGTACTTTGTGAAGCTCCAGGTGCAGATTTCGTGGCAGGCACAGCACTTTGTGAACCTCCATGTGCAGATTTCGTGGCAGGTGCAGCACTTTGTGAACCTCCATGTGCAGATTTCGTGGCAGGTGCAGTGGCAGCACTTTGTGAACCTCCATGTGCAGATTTCGTGGCAGGCACAGCACTTTGTGAACCTCCATGTGCAGATTTCGTGGCAGGCACAGCATCTGGCGAGCTGGAAGCTGAGAACTGGCGGCTCTTGTAGTACAACTTTAGTACGCGGAGTATCTGCTGGCGACTTTGTAGTACAACTTTAGTACGGGGAGTATCTGTGGAGCTGGAAGCTGAGAACTGGCGACTTTCTAGTACAACTTTAGTACGCGGAGCAATCTGTAGAGCTGGAAGCTGAGAACTGGCGACTTTCTAGTACAACTTTAGTACGCGGAGCAATCTGTAGAGCTGGAAGCTGACAACTGGCGACTTTGTAGTACAACTTTAGTACGCGGAGCAATCTGTGCAGCTAGAAGCTGAGAACTGGCGACTGTGTAGTACAACTGCAGTACGCGGAGCATCTGGGGAGCTGGAAGATGAGAACTGACTGGCGACTTTCTAGTACAACTTTAGCACGCGGAACAACCTGTGGAGCTGGAAGCTGAGAACTGGCCACTTTGTAGTACAAGTGTAGTACGCGGAGGAGTCATCTCTCGCTGCTGAGTCAGCTCTCGCTGCTGTGAGTCATCTCTCGCGACTGAGTCATCTCTCGCTGCTCATTCATCTCTCGCTGCTGAGTCAGCTCTCGCTATAGCCATCTCTCGCGGCTGAGTCATCTCTCGCGACTCAGTTATCTCTCGCTGCTGAGTCATCTCTCGCGGCGTGCAGGTTTGGCACAGTTCATACTGATAGTATTTGGTTGCATTTATGCAGGACAGGACATTCAACTGCTGGTCAATACACCACTCATCATACACCACTCAGCACACACCACTCATCATACACCACTCGTCATACACCACTCATCATACACCACTCAACATACACCACTCGTCATACACCCCTCTTGTCGTGGCAAAGATACAACCCAGTACGCTGTTGTGAGCTGCTGATCCTGCAGGGGGCACACACCTTACACACGTGGAATCCCGTGGGTCAAAAGTCCGGAGCGCGTGCGTTTGACTGGAGGACGCGCATGTTGTAGAGAACGTGGACACTCCTATAGGTCAATTTCTTCTTATATGAAACTTCCGCCGCCGGCTTGCCCGGGAACTACTTGTAAAAGCAGACCTCTCCATGTGCTTTGAACAGCAGACCTCTCAATGCGATTCAATGCTGCAGTCAGACCTCCGTTCCTCCGAACTCCGAGCGGACGGAGGGAGTTCGACGTCCGCTCGGACGGACGTTCCTCGGTTTGGGACTTGGCCGAGGAAGGTCCGCCAGGTGGGGCGGAACGTGGTGATGGCATGTCATGACTACAACGCCCAGCTTCCGCCGGGGGGCGCAGCGTCGGAGGCGTCGCTCACCCGGACTCGTCTGACCGGTGCAGCGAACTAGACATGCAGACCAACGGAGAAGAGGGAGAGATTCTTCAGTTCTAGAGATTCAATTGCATGATTCGTGATTAGAAGAGCCCGAGCCTTGGATGTTGTGCCCCTAAACAAGTCCAGGGTGAGAGCAAGGTTAGGCATTGAAGTTGAAGTCCTGCATCGATTCTATCAGTCACTGTACTTTCTATTTTCTCGTGCCTTGGCCTTGTGAGTCCGAGGCCTGGTGCCTCAAGCATTGACAAGATGCGGCTTTGTTTGGTCAGTGGAGGGAAATTTGCCGGGCGTGTGCCCAAGGAGTGCCAAGTGCCAAAGAAAGAGGTACTAGACTAACTAGAATCAGTATCCTGTCAGCCTAGACCGGATTCCTTATGTCATATGTGTCAACTGATGGAACTCCGTTGGTGTTCTAGGGCAATTCCGTCGGTGTTCTAGGGCCTGGACGCTACCTCCTTTTTTGTTCGCTTTCTTTCGCCGCCGCTGCCGCCGCTCTTGCTGGGCGCGGCGCTCCTCGCTTCGCAGGAGGAGGTGGCACGGCAACTGGTCTTGGGAGTTCTCGATGCCCAGCTGGCAGACTCCTCCAGTCCAGAGGCGCTGCCAGAAGTGCAGTTCGCCTACGACACCGATGTTTTTCGTGGCTGGGCAGCAGATGGAATAGCGGAGGTGTGGCTTTGGTGAGAATTTTGGAAACATGCTTGTAGGATCTTGTAGGCTTATAGGTGGGATGTGGCTGATGTGGGAAATGCTGGAAGGTAGGTCGGTGATGTTCTCCATCAAAGTACCCCGCAATGTGAAAGTTCTTCGGGCAAACTTCAACGACTACAGGAACTTGATAGGACAAGTGCCCATACTTCCCTGAGCTTATATACTGTAATGCGTAGCGGCATAGCACAAAAAAACACCAATTACTGTATATACTGATGCTTAATCACACAGATGCTGCAAGTACAGTATATAGGATTCAGTGAATACAGTAAAAAAAGGTGCTCAGTGCTGATCAGAGTTTCTGCAAAGTAAAACAGGCCAGGTTTGGGAGGCGCTCGTCGCGAAGAAGTGAGAGAGAGCAGCGCTGCACCTCGCGGGATGCGGGAAAATCATGGGTATGCTGCTCTCGCTGCAGCTGGGGGGAATCTGTCAAAAGCTTGGTCAGCTGACTGGACTCAAAGATGAGGCAAACCCATCATTTCCCATAGGACTTCTAGATCAGTTTGCGGACCGAGAATGCACAAGAACCAAGCGGAGACCCTATGCATTGAGTTCAGGTGTGAGTAGCCCAAGTTCGATACAGGACCCGGTCAGAGGTCGGAGGTAAACAGGCATTGAGGTTGCAGTTTGCAGCGTAGAGTGCTCAGTACTGTCTGTGTTGCTCCACATCCTGGCCAGTGTGATGCAGCGGATGAAGAAAAATGTCCTAGCGAACCCAGTGTCTTGTGACCGGCAGAGATAGACACGAGAATCTTCCGAACCCGGGACTTGTCAATCAGATTCAATCCGAATCCTTTAAATTAAGATGTCAGAAAAACCGTGCCGCTACGGAGGCTACCCCGAACGTCGTGAAGTCTACTGAGTCTACGAAGTTTACCGTGCTGACCTTGGGAGTTGGAGTGGCAAGTGCCAGGTCGGCAGCAGTGGACTCCAGTTTTTCTCTGGTTTTTAAAATGTACACTGCAATTCTACAAGGTTAAGGTGTATTAAGGTGCTTTTTTCTTTGGTGGAAGGCGTGGTCTTAGTCCATCATGCAGCCCCTGATAGGGTTTCCTGGACACCTCTCCTTCACGGCACATTTGCTTTAAACATTCCAAGATTGAACACCGAACGTTCGACGAAGAAGGACTTTCCCTATCAAAGAACAGTGCTGCAAAAACAAAAACAGTTTGGACAGATTGAATGCTGGAGTTCTGTGCTGATCAGGATTCGGAGATGGAGCGAGAAGCGAGTGAAGAGGCCACGAGACTAAGTTAGACCATGAGTCTGAGTCGCTGTGTCGAAGCTTGGGATTTCTTCGGATTCACCTAGACAGGGAGTGCTGGAACAGGTCTCCCTCTACACTCTACACTTGCATGCTGTAGGCTGTAGGCCCCAGAGCTTCGGCATACATTCACACCGCCTCGTGCTGGCATCGCAGGGGTGGTCTGACAGATCCTCATCACCTAGCATTTCGGTCTTGAACATATCACCATGGCCTTGCACGCGTCGTTGCACGGCACGACCGGCATCACCCCACCCTTTTGCACGTTCCACACTCGCGCGAAGTCTGCTGCGGGTGTGGGCAGATTTTGGTGCGCAAAGTCTGGCTTCAGCGCGTCAAAAAACACCTCTTTCTCGTGCATCTTTTTTGAGTAGGTAGGAAACTATGGGACCTTGGCCTGGCCAGGTCTCACGATTTGAATCAACGGCTACGCACGCTGAATGGCCGCAGGTTCTCCCATCCTCCATCGAGCAAGCTGAAAGACCCAAGACGCCCGATGTGGGTCGCTTGGGCGGGCCAAGTGGTTGTTGTTGGGTGGGTTGAGCCGTTGTCGGGTGGGTCGAGCCGTTGGAGCAGGTGTTTCGAGCCGTTGTAGCAGGTGTCTGTGTGGAGGGGAATTCTTGAGACTCCTCAACTCGATTCTGTATGTTGAGGATTTGTCCAAGATGGATGTCAAGGGTCGGACTCGTTTTTGTAGGCTGCGTCAGCTGGACCTTGCTTAGATTTGATCAGGAAAGGGCCCTGCAGATTTTACCAGTGAGACTCTTAGCTCCAAAGTGTTCGGGTTCAGTGCTCTCGATTTGTGTTTGGCCGAAGGTTGCCAAATTCTGACAGTTGATGTTCCATTACCCGGCAACTTTACATTATAGTGCACTTGGTTCTATACAAGCAATATCCGCCTGAATGAGAAGCAGCTCAAGAGCCAGGGCATGTAAGGAATGTAAGGTTAGATTCAGTCGCGGATGGTGAAATCGCTCTCGAATTGGGTGTTTCCTGTCCCTTAATTTTCGTTTGAGACCTCCATGGGTTCAGGACTTCGAGCTTCCTTTGGTCAAAGCCGGAGCTCCTCAACTCGGCAGGTCTCCCAGGTGAGAGCGCAGCTCGGGCAGCTCCTGCATGGCAACCCCCCCCACTTTGAGATCCATTGAGGATCGGCAAATTCTTCGGTCTGGCTGGCGGTATAGCAGAAAGCTTTAGTGGTAAACAAAGACCATGATTCATATGAGTATGTGCAAGCTTTGTGGTAATGAGGGCCATCCACTAAACACGCTTGAGCGCTGCCATTTTTGCAACTATAGGATTGTATACCACACTCAATGTGTAACTAGGTGAGCAAACATGGACACCTATATATTATATATTGGATGTGCGAGAGACCAGAATGTGACTTGTAGGTGCTGGATAGCCCAGCTACTGAAGTTGGTTTTTTCACTGCCAATCACTCCCAGCTTGACCCTCCAGAGACTGAATGGAGGATATAGACCAAATATTGTCCAAGCGTTCATTCGGGGATGTGCAGGTATACCCACCTTATTACATCAGCTGTATTTCTAGTCTCCCATCCGCCCAGCGCCCTGCTTGCGCTCGCTTTGCTATGTCGTCTTGTGGCCAGCACCAGCCATGCCAGCCACAGACTGGATACAGACACATGTGGCTTTTGGACGATCGAGCGTAGTGAATGGTGGGATGAGTATGGTCGCCGACAGTGAATGATTCTGAATGGTAGTGAATCACTCAATGGTGGGTCGTCGACGACCATTCATGTGCTGATTCTGGATGCTTTCAGCACTTCGTTGGGTGGGTTGTTCCCCTGGGATTCGTCGTACGATAAATGTGCGCCTGTTGCATCATACTGGCCCTCAGGCAGACGAACGCCCTGCAAAGCGTAGGAGCTCCAAGGCCAAACGTGCACTCATTCGTACAACAGAAGCGATCTCGGATGCCAGAAGGCAACTAGATTGGCAGAGGGCCCTTTTTATTTATGCCAGCTACATCATGGAGCATAGTCATTCCCCAGAAGAATATGCCATCGAAATGCCATTGATCAACACGTCCATCTCAGCCTGTGAAATTGGCGCGTGTTGGCCCACGGCTTTGATATTGGCCGAACGCGCTCACGAACTTCACCTCAATCCGACTGCTTTCACTCTGTCAGCGTTGATGTCGGCATGTCGGCGAGGGCGTCAATGGCAAAAAGCACTGGAGGTCTATCACGGAGCAGGTCCCAAAGGTGTGGCGATTGATCCGACTTTGCTGGGGACCGCCATCACATGTGCCACTACAGGACATTTGTGGAAACATGCGTTGGACATTTTGGCTTCAGCTGTCCATCAAAGCATCAAGCCAACTCTGGCAATCGAAAACGCGGCCATTTTGGCTTGTGAGAAAGGACGGCAGTGGGCTATGGCGTTGTCATATTTCGAGGACATGAAATTCAGGAAAGTGTCTTTGACGACTGCTAATTCAGTCCTCTCTGCTTGTGAAAAGGCACGGGAGTGGCAGCATGCCTTGTGTGTGTTTGATGGCTTACCAACCTTGAGCTTGCAACCAGACACTATCAGCATGAATCTGGTCATTGGCTCATTTGCAGCCAGCCGCCATTGGGAGGATGCTTTCGAGCTGTTTCATTGCCTTTGCCGCTTGAACGAGGCCACGCACGTGTCCCACACCACGGTGCTTTCGTCCTGTGAGCGCGCCATGCGCTGGGAGGAGGCCTTGCAACTCATCCGGATGTGGCCTTGGAACAAGCAGAGCTTTGAGGTTGCTGCCATTGCAGCTGCCAGAGCTGGCCGCTGGCAGGACTCTTTGGTGTTGGTACAAGGGGTCTTTGGAGAGCAGCAGCTCATTCAGTCCTGTGAGCAGTCGGGTTGTTGGGGTCGATCATCTTGGCCTCGCTTGTGGCATTCGGCGCGCTTGGTGGAAGCCTTGCGGCGATGGAAGGTGGATTTGCCAGGACCGGCTGGCACGGCACCGCATGGCGTTGGCAAGCACATCAAGATCTTGACGCACCCAGGGACAGCTCCAAGCAATGCTATTTGGTGCTTGACTGCCCGAGATTGTCTCCAGAATGCTGCAATGACGAGGTGACGAATCCTGTCACCATTCGTTTTCGCGACGCCCTCCCTGATTCTCACCCAGCAGGGTCCCAGGCGGAGGAAGGCGCTGCATTTTGCGCGAGAGAAAGACAGCGAGCCTCGGAGCCCTTCGGTGTGTTCGGTGTGAAGATGGTGATCGTGCGCATTTTGAGACAGACTTAGACTCCATTTGAGATTTATTCAAGGAGAATGAAAGGGGGGGTCCAAGCATCTTGGGAGCATGTTGACATATGTTGACACTTCTGACACTTCTGATGCCGTATGCATATTTTAGACCTTCACTTTTTCTCCGACCCTTGTTGTGGAGCGACTCCGCGAGCGACGGCGCACCCGTCCCACAGGCTGCATCCCGATCAGAGGTGTGGTGGCCGAGGAATAGAGATGCTGGGCGAACTTGGAGGTTCTCAGCCCCCGTTCTGAGCCAACGGGGTTGGCAACATCGGGATCGACCTCAAATGGTGCCCTAGTCCAGGAAGTTTCCTTGTGCAAGTGGCTGAACATGTGGAATGTGCTAGTGGCTGAACATGTGGAATGTGCTAGTCTCAAAGAAGGCCCTCAAGTGCGCGATTTTGCTGGTGAAGAGTGGATGAACACATGTATCACGTGGCCGCAACTTGTGTGCTAACATGGTTTCGACCCCACGCCATCTGAGATGAGAGGTGTCCAATGAGTTCCGGGATCTGCCACTTTTTGTGTCCATTCGTGGAGATATAAAGGTTGTGCAACTTCTCTCTTTTCTAGGCTTTTTGCCCACGGAAAGTAGCGGGTGGGAATCATTGTCATGAACAAAATGGGACATGCTGTGCCTCAAACTCAATCATGAAGCGTGTGAAAGAAGGTTGCCACTGAAGGACCATAGTACATTGTTGTACTTAGCAATTGCCTTGACGAATGTAATTACTGCTGCCCATGCCAGCACACCAGCTACAGGATCCCCACTTGGAGCATACATGTGCCAACAATCCTCCACCCTCTTGAAAGATTCACAAAGCTAGTTTTGTTTGGAGTGCTCCAGACCCTTCCGACTTCCGAATGAGGCGTTTTCGTCGCCGCCTCCTTGGCAGCCGGCGTTTCCGCGGCCAAGGCCATGTTTGCGCGCTGTTAAAGATCCCTAGTCTTCCCGGCCCCTCAAGCTTTCAATGCCTTCCTCTCAGCCATTTTGGCGCGTTGTGTGCAGGACAGAATCACCTCAAAGGCCCATTGGCGCAAGCAAGAGCAAGATCATGTCGGACAAAATGCCGCCATGGCGGAAGCCAAAGCAGCCTGAGCCCGTCCAAGGGAAAGGCAAAGCAACCGGCAAAGGAAAGCGAAAAGGGAAAGGCACTGAAAAGGGTGCCCGAAAGGGATCTTGGCAGTGGGGAAAAGAAGGAGACAGAGGTGTGCTCAGGGTTTTCGGCCAACTTGCTTTTGGCCATGCATTTGACGAAGTTGCTTTTGACCTTGAAAGCTTGGATGACCCCTGATGTCAGGTTCGGTGTTTTGATGGCCTTCGGGCCTCGGAAAACCGCAGGTTCGACCGGAAAACCGCAGCCGTTGACCGGCGCAGCCGTAGGGAGGAAGGCGTCGCCCGTTCGCCTTCCAAGTGCTGCCACCTCAGTGGGTGCCGAAACGGATACCGGAGGGGCGTGCCCCTATTCGGGCAACCAAGTCCTCACCGTTTTTCCTTGGTGTTGAGACTTGGCTAAATATTGATAATATTGTACATACAGACGCACACACACACACACTTTGTATATATATATATATATGCACGTAATGCACATCAAATTAGCAGCGTAGATTTGGAACAGTTTGCAGCATGGAACCTCGAAAACCAAAGTACTGTTAGGTTGAGAGCGCGAGGGAATGCAGTTTGTCGCTCTTGCTTGCCACGAGGCTTTGACCTGCGACCGAGGCCAGACACACACACACACAACTTCTCTCTCTCTCTCTCTCTCTCTCGCTCCCTCCCTCTCTCCCTCCGTTCTCCCTCCCTCCCCCTCCCTCCTTTTCTGCCACATTCTCTCTCTCTCTCTCTTGGTGAAAGTGGTGTTGGACAGGTGCATGGGGCTGGTGTTAGTGACCTTGCATTTGTTTGAGATTAATTGAAGGAGTTCATTGGTTTTCTGAGGCTGGCCATGTGCGGGCTTGTCAGGTGGTTATGACGGTTATGACTAAGGATATGCGCCCCAAACCCCTTGATCAATGGAAAGCACAGCCAACTTTGCGTGTCCCTAGTCCTGGGTCTTGTTGTTGAGGCCTACCTAGAAACCTAGAAAGGCAATGGTGTGATCCCACATTGGAGGTTGATGAGACTCGTTGATGCATTCGTACACCAAAGCTTGGCCACCTGACCTCCAGGATGGGCAAAGCTGGAGCTTCTCGTTCGGAACTCAGACAGCCAAAGTTGGCCCAAGTTGAAAGCTCATTAGATAGGGCTCCTTCTATAAACCTCTCTCACGCATCCAAAGGTACGGGGGTGGCAGACATGGAGGCCGAGAGATTGGCTAACCCCATGCACGCTCATGAAGCTGAATTTGTGCCGCCAAGGGGTGTGAGGCATTCAAGAACAGAGCAAGTGAAGTGGTTTGTTTTGTGTGTGATGTGGACTCGGGATGTTAGGGTGTTTCTCGTTTTGGAGCGGCCTCGACCAGCGTTGGGATGTGCAGTTTTCATGGAGTTTGGCCAGGGCATTCCTACCCCGATGCCAGTGGGGCTGCTGAACCGTGTGCCAGCCACTCAAGTTTTTTTCTGGTCAGCAAAGGGAATGAACAAACTGGATGCTGTAAACCAGGCTTTGCACAGTCTGAAACATCACGCTGACAGCCAGATTCCATTGGCCTTCTTTCGTGTCAAAACCCTGCTTTCGCTTTGTACTTGTATCTCTTTGGCTTGCATGGCACTTCACAAGCAGCCAGTGGAGTTTGCTTCACCAGCTGAATTCCATGTCACGAAAGGTAGCTTGAGCTACCTGAGTTCTCCTTGCTTTAGCAAAAATGTATTACAATCAGGAGTTGGGATTGTGCATTGAATTTGGTCCTGTAAGAGTTGATTCTGTTCGTCGGGGGG